TATATATATATATATATATATATATATATATATATATATATATTCGTACGTTCTTTCAATATCTCTGTCTCATATTTTATACGTCGAATAATGTAAAAAAACCTTCATGAAATATTAAACGCACCATTATTAAAACTATGTCGAAAACGCCGGCGAATACTGCAGTGACAGCATGTCGACACATTATCAATATTAATTGGCACGCAGAACGCGAAAAAAGGGAATAAGTGGTGGGAATATCGGTCAGTCGGTAACGGGCCGTCTAATATGCCGGTAGAAAGTTACAAAATATCGATCCATCGATAATTTCATAGGTAGCCACGCGCTTCGCGGCGCGTTTCATAAACTCAGGTGAAAACGCCAAGTGGCCGGACGGCCTGCAAAGGCCGTACTCCATTTTACCGAATCGCCGCTCGACCTTGTATTCGGTCAGTTTCAAGGAGACGAATAGGAGTCGTTTTATTTTAGGACCCAATGCCGCCCTCATCGTTTGTTAAACTGCGCTGGAATGTGATGGAAGTCAAGTAACGATCGGACGACTTTTAAAACTGAACGAATTTTAAAGGTCACTTTTATTTCAGCGTGTTTCTCTCTCCTGCTTATAAGTATCTGCTTATAAGTAGTTTGCATTTATTTATTTTACTTTGAACTGATATGTAAGCCTATCATTTATTCATATACTGTATCATAAAAAGTTCTGTTCGACCAATCTATTCGATATTGCACGGAAGCAAAAAGTTAGTTGTATTAACATGAAGTTTGGTTTTAATAAACAAACTATTTTGGTTAGAAAATACAGGATTTCTGGTTCTTATGAACTAAATTTGATTCTAAAAGATAGAAATTCTGATTCTTATATTAGAGCTAAATTTGGTTCTAAGAAACAGAAATTTCAATTCTTACATTAGAACCAAATTTGTTTCAAAGAAGCAGAAATTCTAATTTTTCTTCGACCAAAACGCGTTGGTTCATTTATTACAATCAAATATCGTGTTGAAACAAGCAAACTCTTTTCTCCGTGTGACAAATGCTTTCTCTAATTTAGAGTCGATGTCTCAAAACGTATATATTAATCGCGAAGGATACCCTATGATTGTATTGTTTGCGCGTCTCCGTGATACTTAATTTTCGGCAGCAAATGTGTATAATCAAATCAAAGCAGCACGATATGCAATGACGCTTTCTCTCTTTCGAGATACTGCTCAAACGAGAGTGAGAGTCACGTGTCGCGGAGCAGGTCGTATTGTCGAGATCGATGTTACATAAACTCGATGCTTCAAATTGCGGTCAATTATATTTGATTCCTCGGTGAACGTTCTCGTATTATTCGCGCTTTCGCAGGAAGTGGTGAATTTCGATGGAAAGTGCCTCAATATTACAATCTGTGAAGAAACTTTCATCCGCTCGTTCAGTTTAACGACTGACGGTCAAGTATGCGTCACGACACTCGGGCGGGGTATCCATTTTTTCGGTAAAATGATAAATTAACTGTTTGGTAAAAAAACGATGTATTCATTTGTAGACGGGAGCAGGAGTTAATTTTCGAGCATGTAAACGGAAACACTTGAGTCCGGGGCGGTTACAGGAACGTGCGTGACACGAGAGTTGCAGAACCCGTTAAGTCACTGTCCAATGCTGAATTTAAAACAGCCCCATTAGACGGAAGGTTTGCGCGACACAACGCAGATAAAATGGACAATTTTTTGCAGATTGTCCCGCAATGGAGGCGACATAGTGGCGAGTGATGTGGGAGATAAGAATGTGCGCATTTGTCAAATTATTTTTGACGTAATTTCTCCTTCGCGACTGCAATCAGTATCGCGAATTTTACATAATATCTTACCTTATAGAAACTCGGCATGCCAGTTTCACAAAACTGAACCAATTTTTCGCCGAAGCGAGTTACATGATTGTTGTGTCGATACCAATTTCTACACGAAATTCGACACCCGCGTACATCGCCGAGCGATCTTCCAGGCGTGTCATGTTACCTCAGAACTGCGTGTTATTTTTGATCATGGAAAGGAGATGGTGAAATCGATGGACTTTTGAAGTCGGTTCTAGCATCGTGCGTTCACTTGATGTATTTTTACATTAAAAAAGAAGCTTTGTAATAGTTGATACATGCATCTAATTGAATGTTTTTGTACAATATTTGAGTAATTAATATCAAATGTGGTGATACCACGATTACCAATTGTCTTAGAATAATTACAAAATAATTAGTAAAATAAATTCTTCATTTAGTTGAATGATTCAGCTAAATGATTCACCATACCAAATAATATCAAATAATTTTGTAATAATTACTAAATACTATTACCAAAATATTTGATCACATTTCGTATATTTATTACATAACGTGGTAAATATTACTAAATAATATAGTTTTATTTTACAAACTGCTTAATGATACGTACTACATAAATTGCTAATAGTCATCAAGTCTTACTAAGGTTATTTGTTGATACTTGGCAAAATATTTAATCATATCCACATTTACCTAATACCTAAGCTTCTACACATTTAACTAATATCTAGACTTGATGGTCTATACTTAAATCTTTTTTTGGTGTACCAAAGTATTTAATTACACATTTCGTATATTTATCACATAATGTGATAAGCATTACTACAATATTACAATATGGTTTTGTTTTCTATTTGATAATACATACAACATAAATTGGTAATAATCACTAAATCTTACACTGAGAAAAAATACTTAAAAATTTATTTTTTGGATAAAAGCTTACTTTACAGAAGTAAACTTTATCTCGCAAAAATAAACTTTATATTCCACAAATGAATTTTCAAATATTTTTTTCTCAGTATAACAACAAACGCCAAGTCTTACTAAGTCTATTTGTTCACATCTGCCAAGTTATTATATTATGTGCACATTTAGTTGAAACTATTTCACCAAAGCATCTGGTAACTGTTATACAGAGACTTGGTGGTTATATATTACCAAACCCTTTTATATCAGTGTACTCATCTGTTACGACTGCTCGTTCCGCCAGCCTGACCAACCAAGCGATCGGGCGTAATTTTCTAGATTTCCTGAGAAACCAAGGCGGACTTGGTGGGGAATATTTAAGGGATATAAGGTACTGTAAACGAGACCGGGCGACCGTACGTACAGGAATCGAATAGATAGTGAAAGTCCCCCGGAGCGAACAGGAGCGCAGAGGGCGAGAGCGGGGGGCGGTAGAAACGGGGGGGGCCGCAGTAAGGTATATGAGGGCCTCAGTTCGAGCAATCGCCGGTACTCTAGCCTCGCTGCCTACTTACATTCACACACACTAACACAACCACCGCCGGGGAACACGATGCACACCCTCGCGACGGTACGTATCTGAGTGCAACATCATCATCATCAGCATCGTCATTCGTCGTCGCCATTCCTCTTCTCTCCGTACTAGTCGCTCCCGCGGCTCTCTCTGCCGAAAGCGCCTTCGCGCTCGCTCGCGCGAGGACGAAAATCGCGTGTGATGTGATTGAACTGTGACTGTGACTAGTGCACATCCGTATTGTGAGCGCGATGACCCTCTTGGTGAATTGACGCTGAGTACCCCGAGGAATCCGTTCTGATTCTCAATTACATCTCGTCTCGCTACTCGACCAATTCCTCTGCATCTCTTTCCACCCGTTACTGTTTCGCACTTTGGCAACAAAATCTGGTTCATGGAACCGCTACGAGTGCAATTATAATAATCGCGGTAAAAGTTCGCGATTTATCGTGAAAGTCGCGCAAATTGTCGCGGTCGGTTGGGAATAATTTGGAAGGAACGGCCGTGGAATCGAGAAATCTTTCTTATCGAGGGCAATACCGGCAACTGCAATTCTCTGCGAGTTTTTATGTGGATTTGTTAAATGTCTCATTACGTTCCATTCGGGAATTAAAAATTTCCGATTGGTCGCACTGGGGTGAACATAAGATCCACGGCGAGAAGTAAAACGACATTCGACGACGCTAACGCGCACAAGCTGTAGTTGCGTGGTTGCGCAATACCCCTGGTCTACTTTCTTCGACGTTACAGAAAAATGTATTAAGGTTTCACCTATTATGACGCGGTAGCCGCGAGGAGCGTTTATTTTTATATCACGCTCGCCCGCCCGGGGAAATGAGGATTATATAATTCGTTATGATCGAGCATGGTCGCGTGCGGTGGCCGGCGAGAGTGCGAGCGGCTCTCAATGCCGGTTCCACCAGCGTCAGTTAACTTCAAACCAGAGCTAATTAACCTCTGGCCGCGCACCGCGCTATATAAGGCGCGTGTGCCAAGTCCTTTCCTGCTTTACGCACTTTTCTCTGTTTTTCTCCGCTGTAAAACGCCACACGACGCGCCGAATATTTTCTTGTCGCGGAAGGAAAGTGTACACAATGCTGAAAAGTATGATGTAAATTTAAAGAGGGAAGGGGATGTAAAAAGGGAGGTTTTGTCGCCTTCTGGAACTTGAATTCGTCAGAGAAGAATTTGGCAGTGAAAATTACTATAGAGTTTTGTAGCCGAGGAATAGCTCGACATTCCGCGATAATTGACTATCCTTTCACTTCATGTTTGCTGCTTATATTTCAAAAACTGAAATATGTTGTTAAAAATTTTACTACGTTTCTAGGGAAATTACTATATTTCTTAACAAAATTAATCTTACTGACAATCTATCTCTCTGCACTACTAGAAACAGTAAAGTTGAAAACAATTTATTAAAAATAAATTATAACATTCTCTCCATATATCGGAAAAATTTTTATTGTTGTAAAAATTACGTTAAAATTATATTTCTTTTAACAATTTTTGTGTACAGTTGGACTATACTGAAATATTGCGATATAAATTACTATAGAAACAATAAATTTGATAATCTACCTGATATAATATAAAATAAAAAATATAATATAATATAATATAATATAATATAATATAAATAATATAATATAATATAATATAATATAAATAATATAATATAAATAATATAATATAATATAATATAATAAATATAATATAATATAATATAAAAAAGATCCAAGTAATTATAATGATAAATGTAATAAAAATTCAAACATTTATAATTAAACAACTTTTAAACAAACACATATTAAAAAAAAATTAACAAGCGATATATCAAAATACCGATAAATTTTTGTATTCGATCAGGAAACATCCGATGAAAAATATCGGTTCATAATTGTTTGATCGATTTATCTGATAAAATGCCATTATGATCGAAAACATCCGATAAAATTTAATCGGATATCCTTATCGGATATAAAAATTTATCGGAATTTGATCGGAAATATCCGTTTGTTAATTTTTTATCGGATAATTTCTCTCAGTGCAGCAATTTTGTTCATAATTCTGTATGGCTAAAAGTTACTAAAATTTTTGTAGTTTTTATATAGTAAATAGTTGTAATTTTTACTGCAATATCTTTTCTACGTAGGGAAAATAATTAAAAATAAAAATCATGAGTTCAATAGACAATATCGAATTAATAGTACACAAATATCTGTTTCTATTTAATAAACACCGCAGGAAATCATACGCTGACAGATTACGAATAGCGAATGCATGATAATATAGATAAACACGACACATGCAAGTAATCCTTCAGAGACGGAGAATCAATTAACACAGCTGGTTCAATTAATCGGATTGTCGATTCAATCTGCTTATATACGCGACGTATCGCGTTTGCTCAATCGGAATTACAGGAAGCGTGCTATGCAGATTGCGCGAGTTAATTAATTATTCTCGTTAATTTTAGAATCGGCACGTTCCCGCGGGGATAAGGGAGTGAACACGGAACACGTATGGTCACGCGTGAGTGATCGCGATTAATAATCGTAATTTATTGGCGTTCTATTGCGCGAGTGTGTGAGCTCGAGTTCCGCGACTCGAGACCCGTTGCTGTTGCCATGCTCGATCGCGGAATCCGGTACTCCCTTCGAGCTATGCACGGCTTATTCTAGATCATGTCGCAACGCGATCGTGTCTAGCGGTTAAGGTTCCACCGCTAGGTAGTCTTAAGTTCACGCGCCGCCGCGTGATGACCTCACCAATTGCACTTTGCAAAGTTAACGGTTCATAATTCTGTGACACTACGCAGGCATGCACCGCAAAAGAAATTCTCACTTTATTTATTTCGTATTGAACCTTGAAATCTACGTTTTCATATACGTTTTCATACGTAAAAACATAACGGTGTCACGTTGCAGTCTGCGAGATGTAAAAATTGCGCAACTCTAGCGTGACTAACGGAGAGCCATCAAAGTTCTCACTGACTCGCACCACCCGCTACGTTTCTTAAGGGGCAATTTCTTTAAATTTAGTTCGTTGTGAATTAGAGTAATTTATCAACTCCTTTACAAGAAAACTGCACTTTACATGTCTTATTTTACATGTAATTTGCTGATGAATGTTTTTCATGACTCTTAAAATTGCTGTCGGTCGAGCTACTTGCGAGAAACAGCTGAAGAGTCCGACAATCAAGTGAAGGCGAAAGAGTTACTAATGAGAACATGGCTACCTAAATATACGTTTAACGAGGCGTGACCAAAAAAATTGAAATCGAAACGGCGCAGCCTGCGTCACGTAATACGCGAGCTTAATACGCGACCTGGTGCGCGCAGCGAGCGTAATAATCAACATGCGAAACATATCGAACTGATACAGCACTTCCGTATTTCAGGTAGCCGCGTTACTTAGCGCGTTGCTGGCGGTGTCGGCGCAGCAGTACCAACAACCCGGCGGCAATTACGTCGACGATTACGCCCAGTACGACTCGCAGAGACCCAGCCAACCAGCCCCCCGTAGCTACGCGCCGAACGACGTACCGTCCCGGCAATCGGCGGCGCCGGCGGAACCGAAGCCGACGCCGGTCGCGATCCTGAAGCAGATCAATCGCCACAACGAGGACGGCTCGTACACGTACGGCTTCGAAGGCGCGGACGGCTCCTTCAAGATCGAGACCAAGCTGCCAACCGGCGATGTGAGAGGCAAATACGGTTTTGTCGATGACACCGGCAAGGTCCGCGTGGTCGAGTACGGCGCGAATCAGTACGGCTTCCAACCTGCCGGCGAAGGTATCACCGTCGCCCCGCCGACCTTGATCGACGAGACCACCAGCAAGGACGGTGTTCAGGGCCAGAACTACCAGGACTACGATTATCAGCAACAACAACAGCAACAGCCTCAGGAGGCACCCGCTCGACCGGCTTACCAGCGACAGGCGCACACCCAGGCTGTGTACGCACCTGCCCAGGTAGCCCCGAGTAGACCTGCTCTCCCGAAAACGCCCATCTTCAGGCCTGTTGCCGCCGCGGCACCGGAGCCACGACAGTCTGCGTTGCAGCAGAGCTCGGGCTACGACGAGCCGGCACCAACCTCCCAGTTGTACAATCAGGGACCCGCACAGTTCAGCCCGGCGCCGGACCAGCAGCGCCGTTCTCAACCGCAACAACGCAGCGGAGGCGGCATCCTGGACCAGCTCGCTAGGGACTACGCTTTGCCTCAGGGAGTGGCGCCACCGCTGCACGACATCAGCTTTGGCTACTACTAAATCGCCTCTAGTCCTGCCTCTGTGTCTAACGGAGAGTGAGAAAGAGGAAAAGAGAGTCTGGGCTCAATTGTGGCCTTCGAGAGATTTTGGCATTCCGATGTCTTTGCGATTCTTGTAGAGAGTACTTCTTTAATCCAATTTATTGCAAATTCCAAGTCTAACTTATAGGATGACCTGTCCAGTAAATGAACGTGTCAAACTCTGATTTGAATAGGCTAAGCCAGATTAATCTTCTGCGTCGCAATTTTGACATGATCACATATAGTCTGTGAGTTACCTCTAGTTACTCAGTTAAGGTGGTGATGATTCACTCATAAAGTGCGCCACATGCTTTAACATTATAATAAAAATTGCAAAGTGTTTATTCACTGAGTAGCGTACAATTACTGGACAGGTCATCTTGCGCGACGTAGAGCGATCGAAGACTCTGTATTCTCGCGAGCGTCACGATTCATCCCAGACTCGTCTACGTCCCGGAGCGTGTTGGTCTTGTATTCTATCTGTGAATGGGACGGAATGGAACACCCCGATGGTCGCTTATCTCGGCGTGATCGCGACGTGGCCTGCTCCTCCCGAAGTGGGCGGCATCGCGGTCGATGATCGTCGCGAACGAACCGTCTGCCGAAGTCGGAAGTCGAGAACCGTCAGTGTTGGCGTCTGAAATTGCGAGTTGAAAGCTAATGCTCCATTTTGTCTGTGTGATGCAACACCTTTTATTTAAATGACTTTATTAATTAAATTCCCTGTAGTAATTTAATGAACTAGAATTAGAACTATATACTCTATATGAATTAGAATTATACCTCCACGAGACGCGTTAGAATAGAAACGATGGATCTCATCTAATTCCGCATTGCGTCGTTCGAATTATCAGCGATAAACTGTGATAAATCGCTGGCAAGACAATCCTGACAAATCATAAAAAGGAACCACGATGGAGATCAATTCACTGCGCACGGCAAATGGATCTTTAATTTCATCGTAGATCCTTGTTCAATTTCTGAGAAATTGGAACAGGAGAGCTTTTCAAAACGCTTTAGAGACGGGAAACGTGAGTTTTTCTTTGCTAACTTGAACGCCAATATCTAAGTTCTCGCCTTCTTACTTCGATCACGATTGCTCGCCTGCACGGGTGTTCGACTGTTGCAACGTTAGAAAATTTGGTATCATCTATCAAGCATCGAGATTATCATTACGCGCGTATCACGACTTATTGGAAAAAATCATCCGCCTGTTTAGGCGTGACGGTCAGGTCAGGCGGACAGCAGGAGCTATGAAACTGATGTATAAAAAGGAATGTAAATAAAATTTCTCGCCCATCTCTTCGGTGAGAGTACGCGTTCTCTTTTACTTTGGAAAACGTAGCTTGCTCTGAGAACTTGCTGTTAGAATACCGAGCAGTTGGAACTGCGTTTTCACGAACTGCGGAGTCTCGCGGGCGTACATGCAAATCGCGAGCGCGCTCGCTATTATAATTAGATTACTGTAAGGTGATCCGAGTGGAATAAAGTGAGGCCAATACTAAATTCTCCGCCCACCTACTGTGGAATACAAAAAATTCAACGCCTGCGCGATGAAATTTCCCGATTTCACCTTTCCAATTATGCTCGTTAGGCGTAAACGCTCTCAACGCTCGTGTATTTACCGAACGCACGAAAGAACAAAGAGTCACGCTTCCGCCCGCGAACGTAGTAATTTGTACTCAATTCTCCATTATCGGACTGTCCTTCGCATTTACGTGCACACAGTGCACAGTGAGAGAAGAGCCTAATTGATTTCGAGCTGTGTGCGCAATATTGCGGCGCGCGTTCGATTGCATCATATTTGAGCGAAGATCCATACTTAGACGCTCGTCATTACTCCTCCTCTTCTAATCACTTGTATCTCAATCGTCGACACGTCTCTAGAGATTGCTCCAGACTAACATTATGTCAGCTTTTCCAAACGATTATTTTTTCCCGTGCTTGCACACCGAGTCAATTATCGAACGCCTCGTGTGTAATCGTATATAAGTGTGGAAATATGCCGCCTTCTGGAAAGTTTCCCTCAAAGACGTTTTGAGATTCTGTCGCAATGTTGCCTCTTTCCTCTGGACGCGCTCTTCCGCTTATTATGCGCAGGAATAATTCAACAACGCCTATTGCAGTGGCAACCAAAGTCACATTCTTGCAGAAACGGCTGCTCGCAGTGGCGATCTTATCGTTCCTTTCTTCGGCCTCTAAAGATTACGAAACTGCACGCCAGCAGACGGAGACCAGTCGGATTTCTCACAGGATTAATCCTCGCGAAACGTCTCTATCCTCTGCATTCAGTTGCCAAAATCGCATGTTCTCCCACGCGTATACGCTCCTCGTTGCGTACGAATGGCCCATCCGTTTTCTCGCGTTTACGCCATAACGACGAGATTTAGCGGATATATCTGCGGATTTATCCGTCATTTCCAGAAATATCCGTCACAATCGGTCAACTCTCGTTGCATTGAACAAAGGAGTTCTACTTTCGTTCGGAAAGTCTCAAGGTGAGCGAGCCAGCAGCACTATACTTTTCTCTCTGTGAGCTAAATATCTATCCTCAAAAGTTTACCGCGACCGGTTCAACGCAAAGTCTCGCGCTATGTAAGCTATTATAAGTATTCCAATCTCTCCATAGAACGCGCGACCTTGTTGGCCTCGCAGTTTTTTCTCCTCGTACCGCTACTTCCTTTTGCAAGCAGAGTGACCAGAAATAAACCTACACAAAACAAATATGATCAACATCCTTTCCCATCTATTACGATCATTTATCATTAATCATTATCATTTATCGTTAACATTATCATTTATCATTTATCACTTAATTTACCCATCACATTTATCTACTGCGATCTTAAAACCTGCGTTCTATGTACCATCTGCCTCGCGTTTCATATCTATGCTATCAATGAACATTTTTAAGATGGCTTTCGTTTTTTCTTCTTAAGGGGAAGCCATACTTGAGAACTTCACGGGCAAAATACTAATTTAAGTTTACGTCGTATTGGTTGCATAGAATTACAAATATTTTTGCATAATGAAAGTAAAGTAAATACCAATGCCTGGATACGTATCTAATCTTCGGGGTTTCTATTGTTTTGTCCGCTAGCTGTTTTCTTATTGTTTTGGTTTTGGCTGATTATTTTGTCTTTAAATACGAATGTTTATATTTTCAATGTGCAGAGTGTGTATATATACATATAAAAGACCAAAACAATAACAATGTTCAGAATTAAGTACGTATCCAAGAATTGATATTTTTTCTTGTATATGCAAGAATTAATCGAATCACAATATGTGACAAAAACAATAAAAAATTTCAAAATAGACATCTAAAGTTGTTAGTTAGCGTCAATATTTACAAATACAAGATACAAGCTTGTGATACAAGAGCTATATGATACAAGAATTCTGCAGCTCGTACATATCGAAAGTATGTTTCTTCCGCTCAAGAAAGTTTCGAAAAACATTGCTCTACTTTTACAATTGAATTTAGAAGCTTAAAGACATGCGAACGGTTTGCAAAAAAATTTCTATATATGCGTGATTAGGTTTGCCGCTGTATATGGCAAAAAAAAGTAGCGCACATCTACATAAGAGCTATATATATATAGAAAAAATTTAATAATAAAAATTATTATAAAACTTTTTAACCGAGGAATAGATCTACATTCTACAGTAATTGACTATCGCTTCGTTTCATATGCTCTACTTATATTTTTAGGAATTGAAATGTGCACGGAAAAAAGAGATGTGGTGCATCTAACAAAAAATATTTAGTTGTAAGCAAATAGCTGCATTATTCTACATATCTTTGTATAATAGTTATGTGTATGATTGATTTGACTTACTTACTTTGGTGTGTCAACTACATCAATGAAGTTGCGCGTGATCTGGTTGTGGCAACTAGAAATTAGTAAGAGAATCATTTTGCATAGACAAGCTAAATATCAATATAGTTGCATTAATCAATGCTATATTGCAAAGCAGCGATGTTAGAAAGCAATTCACTACGCGCACAGCTAGAGATGTATATATGTGAAAACTGGTTCTGAGTGTATAAATATACATTTGTAGTTGCCGCGTAATGAGCCGCGTTTGTATTAACCATGTATTTTTACTGCTGCAACATAAGTAACTCAACCATTGCTCTTTGGTTACAGCAACCACATAAATAGTTGTTCTGTATTTTACTATTGAATCTGGTTGGCACAACCAGATTTCTGTATGGATCAACCATATTGTTTTTTCCGTATGCTATTAAAAAATTTGTTATGTATTTAGAGAAATTTGCTATATCTCTTAAAGAGATAGGCTTTTAATTAACAATCTGCACTAATAGAAAGATAGCAAAATTGAAAAGCATCTATATTAAAAAAAAATATAGTATTCTCTCCGTGTATGTACAAGAAATACAAATAAAATAGCATGAACGTGTTAGTGACAGTCACTATACACTGAGAGAAAAATGTATCATATTTGGAACTATAATGGCATAGTAAAAAGATTACAGTTAGGAATATAATTTTTATAGTAAATGTTACCATAATATTTGTAATATTTACAATATGAGCATAGTTTAACTGACCCGTGTAAAATTTTTACCAATAATTATAATTATTTGAAATAAAAACTATAGTAAGGTAGCAAATATTGAATGGTAAGAGAAATTAACTATTTTATATAGTCAATACAATTGGAATATTTGGCAAATATAGGTACATGTAACTATATTCCCAAAAGGTGCTTTACTATATACAGGTCTCAACTCTGCTATTAATTGTAGAAAATTTGTGAATGATCATGCAGGATATGGTAAATGAGTTATAATAGCGATGACTGCCGTCGTGTACTTATACTTTAGGTCAAATTGAACAAAAAAGTCTTCTACCATTTTGCAAATTATCACATAGATTTTTAATTATTAATTAAAGAAGATGATCACGCAAAATCGTGCAATAATCTTCTTTAATTAATAATTAAAAATCTATGTGATTATTTGGAAAATGGTAGAGGACTTTTTTGTTCAATTTGATCTAAAGTATAAGTATACGACGGCAGTCGTCGCTACTATAACTCATTTACCACATTCTGCATGATCATTTACAAGTTTTCTACAATTAATATCTCGATAATTATTGCGAATATCGCAAAACGGTATACGACTTTTATGTTCACCTCAACCTGTTCTACGTCCCCACAAAATGGGGAGAAGAGTGTGAGACACCCTGTATATAGAGTAATAAGATGGTGACTATAAATCTGTGTTCATTCTACTATAACTTCATGTTTAGATGAACTATAAATATATGTTTGAGGCTAAAACGAACTATATAATATAGTGAGATTATAGTTATTTCAACTATTTTTTTCTCTCAGTGTAGCGTTAACGACATTCTTGGAGTTCGTTATTCAGTTTAGCGTTCCCTTAATGCGCCATTTCGGTTTATTTTGCGTATATAATTTCCATACTCTCTTATTGCTGCTTGTCTGTTTTGGTAATATGCATTTCAGGGGCTGCGTTCGAGAACGCATAACAAGTACTCTCTCTCTCTTTCTCTCTCTCACTCACTCCCTTCTTTTTCCTATCACGTACTGCGATTTGCAAGGTGAAGATTTGCAGACCGCATACTGCACCTATTCACGAAGGGCGTACATTAGTATAAGCGCCGTGTTCGCGATTACAGGACGAACTGCAACGAATAGCCTGGCGTCACGCCAGACGATCACGTCATAACGTACTTTTCTGCAAGGTGGCTATTACATCGCGTGTGTGATGACCTTCTCGTGTGCTAAGAGACACCGCGCCGTCGTGTCGCGGATGCAATGACCTGTGGACGAAGACGTGTGACGTTTACTTAATAGGCGTACACACGTAGTACATACACGTCGAAGCCTAATGATATTCGTTTCATAGAAAGTTGAAACGATTATGTCGCGACAGGCCCGACTTTGATTGCCTTAAGCATCCTGTTCATTCGAACAGGACTTACTGACGTGATTCTACGTGAAGTTTTGCATTGGCGATGATTCAACGGCGAGATAGCACGCTGATTGTCGCGCATAGGGCGCTCGTAAAGTGTGCAGGTGCGCTGTAGAATTGCGCGTGATTCATGAAATTGTGCACACCGCTCGAAACACACAGCCGGTTGACACTTGTCAGTTAGGCGAGTCACGCAAAACGTTCCGTCGGATTTCAACATTAGACGGGCTGGCGGGCTATGTTTACCGGAGCTGAATTTATACTCACTGTCGGAGGTGCATGAAATCTACGATAACGTTGATGCAAGCGATCGTGACTTTTGGTCGAGG